GAAGGGTGGTAATACACCATTATCACCATGAGAATAACTTATGACACTTTGCATAACATACTATGTAGTATTCTCATAGCGGGTCAATCCGGTATAAATATTACTCCTAATATTTATACCTATGTCAAGACTTGATAACTCTTTATCCATGATCCATGAGATGTGATCATCAGTCTATCTTCATAATAGTCTCAATGCTTTTAATGTTATCCCACTTTGCAATAAAGCTTGACTACAGATATTTTAAGAATAATGTCTTTATGTTTAATGGGATCTCATGATTAAGTCACACTTAACATTTCATTAAACATACTAACTATTCTAGGGACTTTATTATTCTGAAAGACAAACATAATAAAGAAATGCCTTTTATTATTAAACGAATAATCCGATACAAGTACCAAAAAGTATTGGCCTCTAGGGCTTACACCAACAACATATTGTTTTGGATCATTCACAAGACTCATAGAAAAAGGCACAAGAGAGAACTTCGAGTTGAAAGGTGCACATAACAGATAAACATTCATTTTAACTAGAAGTAAACAACTTAAAACTCAAACATATCAATCACTGTCTGATTTAATCTGACAGTTGTTCACACAACATCTTGCTTCATACTCGGGAGATTTCAACCGCTTTTGATATATAAAGGTAAAACACGCCATTTCGGGTATTCAAATTCATTCTCACTCACTCATTACTTATGAATTATTTCACTGACTTTGGCATTAGAGTGCTAATCTTGTAGGTCTACCATGCTCTATCGCATCGGAAGGACTGCTCCACCTCAATAAGACACAACTTCACCATCTCATATTTCATTTCTAGTTCCTAAGTGTACAATGGCGCCGTATGCGGGAATCAACTTCTAATTATTGCTAATTTCAATAAAACACCATTGTTTCTCCAGCAAAGATCCAGATCATCGATCTTCTTTCTTTGGGAGGAAGCCTCTCGAGGAAATCAGGCTGCCACACCAGAGTCGGTTCCCGTTGGCATAACTATGCCACAAAGAAAAGTCATGAGGTCACCAGCTCGTGAATAACACCAAGGAAATTAAACTCCCTTGTCCTCGTCGTTCATTTACATGTCACGCCCGAAGAAGGGAAATATATGATACAAACACTCTAGCTCTAGAGTGTAAGAATAAATCGTTGTCTGTCTGCATTCTCGACTACATAATCCCAATGTCTTTGGAGAAACCTCTAAAGTTGTAGAGTTATACAGGAAACTGAAATCCAAACGAACATGTTGAGCAAGAAGATAACATGTTAGACTACTACCTTACCCAAAGGGCGGTGACGTGAAATCTCTTTGCACTAACCCCTTGTTGGAGTTGCGATGATGTGGTCCAAAACCCTTATGAATGGGAGTATAGATTCATGGAAGAATTTTTATGACGTATTCACTGTCCTGTTTACCGTCCTAAAGCGGAAACCCACGACCATGGCCATACTCAGCGAGGTCACTTAGAAAAATAAGGAAACCTTACATGCGGGCATACATTGATCATTTCACAAAAGTGGCAGTAGAAATGGGTGAGGGTGACAGATGGATGACTAAAATATTGAATGTTCAAGAAGGGATTGGGACCAGATTCCATGTTTTAGGAAAATCTAGAGCTCAATCGAGCTTATAATTTAAGTGGTATGAATATGGATCATTAAAAAGAAGAACTCTTGGCTGAAGAGGGAGAGAGAGGTCGAGAAGCAGGAATCTTTGGATATGGTTGGGCACTAGAAAGAGATAACGACTCTCGTAGAGAATATGGGGATCGTAGACCCCAACCCATGTTCTACAACTACACTCCCTTAAAAACTTCAAGGGAGAAAATATGGAAGGAGCGTGTAACACTGAGTTTAAGGAAGCTAGAATAAAAAATCCTTATATGGTAAGAGAATTGTTAAGGATAGACAAATTCAAATATTTGCATTTCCACAAAAGTCACTAACACAACACCAATGAATGAATCCATCTGAAGGATGCAATATAAGAGGTGATTAAGAAAAGATAACTTATTAAGTACACCTAAGATGGTGACCAAAATGGTGGTATGGATCATAAGATGAAGAGTGAGAGACAAGAAGATTCAACAAAGAAGAAACACATTCATCTCCTAGATAAATTTCCCCCGAGAAAGCTATTGAGGTTGTGAATGGATTTGGGAACAAAGACAATAATAATGATGAAGAGGAAGACCTGAAGGGAAAGTACCAATAAATTACATTCATTGTTGATGGTCTTCCAAGGGAAAAGAATCCCTCCAAAGGGATGGTGAAGAGGTAAATTTCTGAATTGATAGACGTGAACAAAGAAGAGGGGAAGACTCCGATCGAGGAGCCAAAAGGCCATCCTCGGGTTCCAAGATAATGAAAAAGTAAGCAAGATCCTAAAAGAGATCTTTCCTCTAGTCATAACGACTATCATAGCCAACTTTTATGTCTTTAGGATCCTTATTGACGACGAAAGCTCTTGTAAGATCATGTATGCAGAAGTTTTTGAAAAGCAGGGATTAAAAAGGGAGATGTTGTGGACTTACGAGGGATCTGGCCTAAAGATTTCAATAGCACTGTAACTCTCCCCTTGGGATATATCGAGATGATAAACACCTTAGGAGAAAGGAGAGACACCAAGATGGTTGACCTGCACTTTCTGGTAGTTCCCTACAAAAGCGTCTATAATTGTATTTTGGGTAGGCCTTTTGCAACAACCTTAGACACAGTGGCTTCTTCAGCCCATCTCAAGCTGAAGTATCAAAACGTCCACGACAAGTCGCTAACAATATGCATTGACTTATCTAGGGAAAAAAAAGGATAAAAAATACCCTGAATCATGACCAAAAGGAGAACTAAAGAAAGGCGATGGAGATAATTGTGGTCTCCCTCGTCATTTAGTTAAAAAGAATGACAATTAATCCCCCAACATGTAAAATGAATAATTCTGAATTGACAAATATAAGAGAAGATTCCAGATGAGAGCTCAAGTTGTCCATCATGCAATTGGCCCAATACCCCCAGTGGCTAATAAGCATTAGTTACAACCCGCTATATTTCCCTTTATTTCATGTAATATGTACCGGTTGTCAGGGTGTAATTTCTTCCAGTAAAAATAAATGATTTTTTTTAAACTCTTTTAATTATGACCGTAAAGGGTAACCAAATGGCTTGGGTATTGTCGACGCCATAGATGCACGACTAAAGCAATCAAACTCCCATTACAAAAAACTCAGGGGTCTTCTCACAAATGCCACCGAAGTACGACTAAAGCAATACAAAATCTACAGTGCAATTAAGGGAAACTAAGTACACAGACCACAAAGTGGCGATTAAGGGCTCACCCACTCTTGGTAGCTAGCCACTCCATAAGTAAATGTGAGTTCTCGTTTTGTTAACCTTAAACCAAATTTTCACTTAAAGGAAGGAAAAGGGAATCAATCATTGGTCGGGCACGGTTCCTAAAGATGTCTAAAGAAACTCCGAGCACTGCCTTAGAGAACGAGTTATCTCCCATAAAAACGAATTGAGACTTAAAACAATGTCACAATAGATAAAAATAATTGTAAATTAAAATATACAATGCCAAGCAATAATCATGAAGTTTACCTATTCATTAAAGTTACATCAGGAACAAACATCTCAAACGAAAAAAAACAACAAAGGATTACACGTTCGACTCATCACTAATAAGAACCAATTTCTCATCATCATACCCCAATTTTGTCCCTCCCTTTTTTATATCACCTGACTATGGATATTTAAAATTTCATCTGATACTAAAATGAGGGAACCCTAAGTCATGGTTACATTCATTGACGAGGAATATTTAAAATTTCATCTTATACTAGAATGAAGGAACCCTAAGTCATGGTTACATTCATTGACTAGGAATATTTAAAATTTCATCTGATACTAGAATGAGGGAACCTAAGTCATGGTTACATTCATTAATCATTTTTTATCATAAGCATGCATCTTATGACCGTTGAATCTCATCTTCATATAATAAAGCTATTCAACTTCATATAATAAAGCAAAGTAAACAAAATAGTGACTTGAGCTAAGAGGTTGGTTCCTTTTATGTATTTCTATTCATTTTTCATGCATCATATACATTGCATTATTTACCACTCATCTTACACATTTGTCCATCATATCTTTAAAGTCAATTTAAAAGTCAAAATAATCACAACAAAAAGAAAGAGGTCAACAACATTGCATTTAATTGAAATGAAGCTTTTATGCATCATTCATCGTACATTCATACGTTTCATTCATATTATAATACAACATGCAGCTCTCTCATCATATGTCATCTCATATGTTAGTCATTTTTGCTTCTTTAAGAAAAGTCAAACTAAAAAATAAGGGAAGAAAAAGTCAATAAATAATTCACTCATCATGTGGCATGACATAATTCAAAATAAATGACATAAGTCAAACACAAAAATAATGCTTTTTCTTTATATATACCAAAAATGAATAGCTTTTTCTTTACAAATTCATAAAATAATAATCCTGAAACTGCATGCTGCATCTTTGATTATTAATGCTAAGGTCAAAACAGTGCACTCACAACACAACTGTCCTTCCAAACCACTGATAAGAGGCTCATTCTGTGGTTTGCATCAATGCATCCGTTTCTACACTGTACATACCAAATACCTACTTTTATCATATGACAAGCATTGAAAATTCAAACCCGAATCATCCCTTCTTCAATAAAAATACAGCAGGACATTGCTTATCTCTGATGGAGTAACTTGTTCTTGAGTTAACTTCCACAAATCCAATGAGATTGAACTCATGAAGATAGGAAGGTACACAGTCCGATATTTTTCTTCATCATTATTACATTTTTGTGGTTATGGTAAGTACTTTGCAACATTTCTACGTGTTGACTGTATGCCCGATGTACTCCAGTGTAACATATCTTATCCAATGTACTGAAGACAACTTAAAAGCCATTGAAAATGAAAAGCTATAATATACATCACAACACAATCATACTCCTCCCGTGTTATTGATGTTTTCCAATGAGACCACAGCACCAGATCTACCTCCATCCGATGGGCCAGAATGTGATGTCAGAATGTAAATCACCCACAAATGAAGGCAGACAAGGTAAATCACAGCCCATAGTTTGGCCGTTGAGTTCCTTTTTAAAACAAGTGCACCAGTCACAAAAATATAATCTAATTGTTGAAGCAATGACCCCAGGTGTTTTTTGCCCGAGTGAATTCTGGCTTTTAGCATAGGCTTCAATTTTGAATTAGAGAGCTCCCACATTCCAGATTCTAAGTCACTTGATGAAGAGGCAGGGTTCATAGCTGACACTGACATGTTCTCATCCAGCAACCTTGACACTGCCTGCTGAGTTGATAATCAAAATTAAAAATCAAATGTATCATGATTTTAAGAATTAGCATCATGACCTCCGAAAAAGCATACCTCTATTCTAAATGTAAGGCTTGCCTTCTCAGAAGAGAGTGATTCAACCTGTTGACAAGCAGAATAAACTTTTTTTAAATAAAGGGGTCTGAGGTAAGCCAGCAGGTTCCAATTCTGTTTCAATGAACTTGTATTTTTTTTTTTTTTTATAAAAAAAGTTTGCATTTAAGCCGACTGGATTCTGTAAACCAGATGCAGATGATTTATCGATCATTCTCTTTATAATCTATTTTTTACTGCAATATCACACTAAAGATTTTATACAAACTGCTAATGTCTTCAGTGGGTTTGTAGGACTGACCAGACTGGCTGGTTGAGCCTGAATTAAAGTAGTGAATCTTGAGCATTTGCAAAAATGTTACAGCCAACTGGATGTATGAAAGACTCACCTTAGATTGTTTCTGTATTAAATGATCAGTCATTTGATTAAGCCTCCGCTTGAGCTCAAATTCAACTTCCGTTGGCTCTTCTATCTCTTTCCTCGTCATTTCAATGTCAGCTTCAAGCTTCCTTGCCTGTGATGTTTAAGTGTATTAAATGACTATAATGCCGAAATAATTCATATTGACTTTGAAGTACTGGCAATATATAAAGACAATCTTCAACTTAATGAATCATAGTTATATATAGGGTCAAGTGGTGATGAAATCAGTAAGCTATATTGGACAATTGAGGTAGCTTCCTTTGATTATCCGAATTTGAAGCATCTTGATAATCACTGAGTGTGGTGGATTGCAATCTTTTGTCGTGAAAATTGAAGCTTCACAAGCTATCCTAACCATCTTAGTCTGTCTGCAATTGAAATCACTTCACCTTAAATTTTCAAAACTCATTTTTTTTCATGATCTCTACTTCCGATTTGGAAAATTTTCGTTTTAACCAGAGTGATGCCATCCTTGACTGTGCACTGTTTGCCTTTGGCACCATCACACCAGGTGAAGGCAGAGCTAGGGTTTGCACTTCTACAATATTTTCTTTTTTAAAAATCCTTATAGAAGGATGTATAAGTAAATATTTACACATATTTACATGAAAGTTGCCTTTAATATATCACAACCGTTAACTATTTTACAATTAAATCTAATGGATAATAATGGCTCTTCACTGATTATCATGCCACACCTTAGACAAGCCATGGCTAAGGAAAACATTTTTGTTGTACATGGAAGTCAAAAGTGGATACCAACTGAGTATAGAATAGATTACATTTTGGTGTTAACCCTCTGGTTTCCAGGGGAAGGAGACCCTGGTAACGCAGAATCTGACCTGGGGGTAAGTAAAGCCAGACCAAGAATTGTTCCACTCAGAATTCAAATTCAGGTTCTCTCAAACGATTCGTCCTTACGTAGAGCTCATAAACCACTTGAACTCAAATCACTGGGTTGGGGATAGGATAGATAACATGACATATAATTGGGCACATTTTATAAGCATGAAAAAGTACAGAGAACATGCAAAATTCCAAGTTTCTGGAATTCGGTACATTCCAGTACTGGAATATACAAGATTAATCTCATTTGATGAGAAGATTCATTTTGATCTTTCAAAGACTTTATCTTCCTAAAATATAATTTGGAAGTTTGAATAAGAAAAAACCCTATTTAATGCAACAAAAGAAACAGGGAGACACCAAATTTATAAGGAAATACATTACATCTAAAACATAATAGCTCTTCAAGGTCATGGAAAAAGAAGTGAATATAATAGGCACGCGGACAAGTATAAAAGCTTACCTTTTCCTGTAACTGTGCAACTTTATCATTAATAAAAGAGTGCTCAGCCTCAAGAATTTCTCGTTCAAACTCAACTCCTTTTGAAGCTAGCTACAACACCACAGCATAGATAAACAGATGTCAAGAATATTCAACTAAGAGAAAATGAGTATATAAGTTTTAAAAGGGGAATATATGAGCAAACAAAAAGAAAATACCAGACACCCTCTTAAAATCCCCACCTAAGGAAAAAGTAAACAAAAGAAGCCAAAATACCAGCTTCAGTAATGAATAGGGTAGCTTACTTGATTTCGCAAAGCTCCAGTTTGATGAGGATTCCTCGTGCTCTTTTTGAGCTCTACAAAAGTTAAATGGTTAACCTATTATCAGGCCAGCTAATTAAAACATAATCTCGACTACTCCAGCACTCTAAATAACCAATTTGCGATGATACATAATGATTACTAAACGTTCACTGATGAATGATAAGCAAAGCTACCATTAACCTATATAGAAAGAAAGACATTTCCAGAACATATTCATAGTCAATATATTCTCGGGAAAAAAAGGGAAATCCTAGTTGATGTGTGTGCTTGGGCATTCCTCATCTCTTGAGCTAGCATATAGAGTTGAGTTAAACCTAGCCCAAATTATAATATGGCCATCCTAGATTTGTAATTGGGTTACCTACATTTTTTGTGTGCTCATAAGTAGCATGTTGAGATCCCAAAGGCCAAGGTAGTCCATGTAAAGCTTGAGCAACCCTACCACTTGAGCTAGCTTTTTGGGGTGAGTTAGACCTAACCCAAATTCACATAACGTGGTTCCTGAAAACCCTATCGAAGCCTAACACAACCTTGTTTGAAACCTAAATGGCCTGTCCTTTAACTGCATAACCATCTATTTTGTCCAACCTGTAAGTAGCTAAAAGTTCAAATCATGAATAATCATTGTTCTATTGGGCAGATAAATGTACCCAAAAATTCCAGTGCATATGCTCATTATGCTGTTCAACAAGCAAGAAAACTTTCCTTTAGGCCTATACTATTAAGTTACTAACCTAAATTATCTTTATAGGCCTATTCTAACCTTTTGCCATTTTTTATTAAAAGCTCGTAGACTAATACATACTTAAGAGTTAAGATTTGAAAATAAGTTTCAAGTTAAAATGAAACAAATATATTATAAGCCTTGGTAGCTAATGAGCCCCACGGAATAACACAATTAATGGTTGAAATGAAACATAAGGGTCTGTTTACTTTGAAGAAAAAGTGATTTGTTTTCATTACATGTTAACATTTTTAATTATAGAACGGCTTGTAATTTCCAAAGATTTGTACAAGAAACACTTTGATAAACTTATTTTTGTTTTCAAAATTTCCTGTACAAATCTTTGAAATCAGGAACAATAGAATGAAAACAACGTGGCAGTCTTATGATAAAGAGGGAAAATAAGAAATGAAAACAAAAGAGACCTAGTATTTCAGATTACAAATCGACGGATTTACAAAAAGGCAGTACCTTCAAGAACAGATTCTTTCAATGCAAGTTTTTGTCTGAGTTCCACTACTTGTTTGGCCTGATACAAAACATATCATAAGTAACTCATAATAATTTAATACACTTATCCAGATATGAAGATGACACACAAATTTTGTTAATTCAATTCTAATATAAAAAAACTCATTCTAATCCAATAATAAAGCTGCATTTGTAATCAAAATATCTTTAGGGAGCTGATAAGTCAATTCAATTGAACTTTTAAGCTTTTAGTTCTAGCAGTGTTTAGGGAATTTTTCCATACAGTATCAGATTCGGTATGGTGATAAAATCATTGATTAATTGTCTCTCATCAGCTTTCATTGTGATGCCATGACAGTTTGACCGTACTAGTTTTAGAAATCATAAATTACTCTCATATTTAAGATCAAGTCCAAAACTTTGTGATAAACAGTGGCAAGTCTAATTTGTATTCAGTAACTTCAGAATTTTATCAACACTACAGCCAAAAATCCATGGACTCTATGAATCATGTAAAGTGGAAGGAAATAATCTTAGAATCTAAAAATACCTCTACTTCAAAGTTCCACTGTACAGCTGCGAGGGATCTTGCGAGATCGGCATTAGCAGTCTACAACCAATCCATACATGTGTCAATGACAAGCTTATCTAGATATTCGCAAACTAGAACATCATGAACAAAATATTTACCAAGTGTGCTGTAAGCTTTACATTACAGATAGATGGCTTAAAACGTTCAATTAACATACCTCCAGTTTAGCTAACCGAGTAAGAATTTCCATTCTAGTATTATTATGTTTTTGCTTTTCTAAATCAACAGCTTCCATTGTTTCCATCATAGTACTCTGAAGGTGTGAAGCCTGAGGGAAAGATTAAAAGAGGATCAAATATGTAATCAACACAGCGCAGCTTGCTGTCCATTTACCTTCTATAATAGAAGATAGAGATAAAAAAACAAACATATATATGTAATCAACACGTCAAAAACATCAAGTGCTATCCAAAACAGTGATCTAAACAGCAATTAATTTCAATGCGAAGTCAGCTCATTAGGAGAAGCTCTTATAATATGAAAGCTTGAGTAGCCATTTTATTTTTCTAAACTAGACATCCTGTGCATAACCATTGGTATGACACAGAACTTAAAAGAGCAAATGTAAAAATCAGTTCAGAGAACTACGTAAAGCTACCTCTTGTGCTTGTTGTTGAGCTCGCTCCTCAAGTATTTTCTCTAGACTTTGTTTCTCTCCCTCTAATTTGGCCACCATATTCTCCTTTTCCTTGATAGCAATCATTGCATTAGCTGCTGCTCTCTCAGCTAGGATCCTTTCTCTCTTCTTTCTCCTTTCTTCCCTCTCATGTTCACTTTCGGAACCAGACGTTGAACCGGACTCTGTATCCGAATCAGAACTTTCGCCACTTGCCATGGAACTTTTCAAATCATTGGATGTTAAATTGTCAGACACTGAATTAAGCTCACGCCTCCCTTTTATCACATTTTTCAGACGACTGCCAACATCAACTGGGATCTTAGCTGCATGAACTTTATCAACCCCCCTTACTGGTATCGCCTCAGCAACAATATTTTTGTCATCTTCCCGTAAAGATTCGGGTGAAGACAAGTCCCTATAACTAAATCGGTGCTCACGATCTTCCTTTTCCTTATTGTTGGTCTCAATCACAGGCTTATCAGAACTGCTATTGCTAACATATTCCTGTCCTCTAGTACCATCCGTTTCCAATTCTACATTAGACTGCCTATCAGTCGAACCCGAAGAGGTAGATTCCTTCCCATCATCACTGTTTTTTCCATTCAATTTAGCTCCTTTAACAGAGTCTAATCTCAGCAAAGACCTTGGACCACTGTTACCACTCTTCTGATTCCTCTTTATATCAGACACAGATGAATTCCTCTGCTTCCTACTATTTTGCCTTAAAAATCGAGCTGCAGGTACACCGTTACTGTGATTTCCCCCAGAAGCTGACGCTGTAGGCTGAGTAGGTGAACTAAGAAGTTCAGTCCAATCACCGTCCGTAATGGTAGGGCTAGGTTTGGGGGAATGTTTAGGTGCAATAGTTGGTGTAGTTTTAAGCACGCTGAAATTAGGATCACTACGCAATTTTCCATTATAATCATTATTCTCAGGGATTTTCTTCTTCAATTGATTCTTCAATTGACCCTTCAGAGCCAAACCACTCCCTGGTTTCACAGGAGCATCGATACTGGCTTGTTCCTCTAATTGAAGCCTCTCGTCGTTCTTCCGAAGCGATTCCGCCGCTTGCTGATCGATCTGAACCGTACAAGTAACGCAATTGCGAGGGGAAATTGAAATCAATCAAATGCAAATAGCATAATAGCATAATACATAGTAAAAATATTTATAATCACGCTATAAATTGAAATTAATTATGAAAATTGCAATTTCGCGGAATGATTATAACGGAGATAAAGAACATGAGAAGATTCGTTGTAGATGGACTTGCCTGATGGAGAATGTTCTCGGCGGCTTTGAGTTTGGAGGAGATCCAATTTGCCATGGTTTCAGCGAGTGAGATGTGAAAGATGAAACTAGCACGTGGTTGAAGAAACGCAGATTTGAAATGAAGAATTGCGTTTGCAGAAGAGAAAATGGAAGAACGTGGTGATTTTCTGTTAAACCATGATGAAGAAGATGAAGAAGAAGATCGAGAGTGAGATGCGAGTTCTGGAACGTGTTTCTTGGCCCAATTACTGTTTTGGGTCCCACCGAGTGTTAACCCAAAGACAACTACGTACCAACTAACTAACGGGTTTCGGATTAGGTTCGTTTGGTTCTCTGAGCCCAAATGCAATTGAAGCCCATGGGCTTAAACCCATGACAGTATTGAATCATGATATGCATGGACTCTTTTATACTCCTACCCTCTTATTACTAATGTGACAACCCAAATTTATCTTAGATCAATTTGGATAAGTGATGTGTCAAATTATTACAAGACAACTTACTAAGAAGCTGTTTGACTTGGGCATATTTACGAAACCAAAGTAAACACTAGTGTCGATAAAATTGTTTTCAATCATACTTTTTAATTATATATATATATATATACACATGGGCGGTTTTAAGGCCCGGTCAGGCTGGGCATGTGCCCGGGCTCGACTCCAAAATTTTGCCTTCTTTTATAAAAGAATATGAAAATTGTGGCGGTTAATAAGTGCTGTTGTGGGGGTTAAAACCGCCACAATTAACGAAAATGCAGAAAAATAATACTTTTGAATAAAATTTCTCATGTCATAATATATATTAAATAAAAAGGTGGTTTTTTTGTCGTTGATAATGACAGTTTTAACCGCCGTAATTTAAATATTTTTCACAAATAAAACATATTTTTTTTCCTTTTTTATGCAATTAAGCATACATTATATTAATATTTTTTATATGATAATATTTAAATTCAACTACATTACAAAAAGTGCAAAATTAAAATAAAGTTGCTATTTATGACCAAATTAACCAAAAACAAAAAATAAATACTTGAAAAAAATAAAATTTAACATAAAAGTAGCAGCTACTAAAATTATAAAAAAAAACATGTATAGTGTTGTAAAAAAGAAGAAGAAAATAATAAATTTTATCCTCAAATAATATAAAAAATATATTAGGTCCAATTCTTCAATTTATGTTCACTCTAAATTATATGGTTCAATTGATGTTAACTAGGAATTTGTATTTTAAATTTAGTTTGTAGTTACAGTAGTTAGTAAATAAAATTATGTTGTTAACTTGTTGCTAATTTCAAGAATTATTATGAATCACATGAAATGATATTCCATGTTAGTATGAGCCTCAAATTGGATATGGCTATGTTAGTTTTAAAATTCTTCCGAAATCAATTAAATTAAAAATCTTTTATTTTGATTAATAACTATTTATATATACAATATGAATTTATTGTCTTTAAATTTTTGCTCAGGCTTCAAAAACTTTCTGGCTCCGCCACTATATATATATATATATATATATATATATATATATATATATATATATATATATATATATATATATATATATATATATATATATATATATATATATATATATATATATATATATATATATATATTATTTTTTTTTTGAAGTTTTCGACGAACAACTTTAATGTGTTGAGATTTTGCATCTCATAAATTCACAATTGCTTTAGGAAAAATATTAACTCATTGGTTTTCTTTACAAAAGTAGCTTTTTGACCGAAACAAATGGAATTGGAAAATGTCTTCCATAACCAACCAAGACCAAGTCGTTGTTGGTCAACACATGCCCATTCTCATCGAAGACACCTTTCTCTTTCATAAAAATCTTGATGGTGACATGTGCCTTCAGAGACACCCAATATAATTTGTCCTTAAAACTTCTGAGAGACTCTATGAAATCCTCGAAGATCTTCTACGATCACTTCAAAGAAATCCAATTACACCGACCAGTAAAATCTACAAACCTCAACAAGTTGACGACATGGGAAAAAAAGATTAAAAAAAGACATTTGTATGCATGTTAATATACTCGAAGACTTTGAGATAAGCTAAAGAGATCAAATTTAGCTGAGAGGGGGCTAATTCTAAGTAATTGAAGGCCTCTTACTCGAAAGACGTGAAAAAATGTGAAACTCCATCTCCCTTGAAGACCATGTCGTAGATTGGTACGATAGTCACACCATATGTTATACAAATTCACTAAATCTATATAGATATCTCACTTTGACCACATATCCTCTTCCACCTATATGAAGGGGTTCTCGAGATATGAGTCGTTCGAGAAGATTGAGATAGTCTCTAATGGCTCCTCGTCAATCCATGAGTACTCGTCCTCATTCAAGGAAGAGTCAAATTTCATGAACTTTTATAACTCATTGGAGTTTGAAACACAGAGGAAGAAAATGATTTTAACGCTATTCAAATTCACCATTCTACCATCATTCAAGTGACATGAAGAAAAAACCTCATCGAAAGTTAAAAACCCATTATGTCGGAGTAATCCTAAGGCCAAAACAATGGTCTCCCACCTAAACAACCACCACACCAGAAGAACAAATATAAACAAAACACTACAAATCAAACCCTTTTTCATATAACAAGGCCCAATCAACGCCCACTTGCACTAGAACCACCACCCACAATGCTTAAAAACTAAACGTTTACCCATTTTTGTTTGAAAGCACACAAACAAAATAAAACAATTACAAGGTGGATTATTAGTTAAACAAAAGTAGATGACATGAAAATAGTTGTGAAAATGCACTTTCCTATGACCAGGAATAAGAACCTTATCGTAAATGGAAAATGCAATTTAGAGGTGGAAGATGAAAGGTGAAGAGGACACTCGGGAATATACAAGAGATGGAACAAAGGTTTTGAATAAACATTCCAAAATGAAACTCCCTAATTATATATCAAAAAACCAACAAAAAAATAATGAGAGGTAAAATTCCATACAACGACTCATAGAGTGCCTCGAAATAAAACATTGCAAACTTATGACTATAGGCAATTGATTACACTAACATTATCAATCATGTGGCGATATGGATACCAAACATGTTAAACCCTCTAAGGCACATTGTAACAATCACAAATGACATTTAAATTGATTGGTAATCATAGATGAAACATGGGAAAACCCTGATGGCAACTCCCACTCAAATTAGGAAGAAACTCTCAAAAATCAAATCTCAATTCATAAACCAAAATTTTGTCCTCCTAGAAATACACTAAGACTTTGTTAGGCAGTTCGGAGGGAAAATGAATGAAGAGTTTTAAAAATTGAGAAGAATTGAATAAAAAGAATAAAAGAATTTACATTGGGAGGATTTATTTTTATTCAAAAAACAAAATCCCTCTAGTTTGGGGGACCTAAAAATTTATATTGGAGGAGGGGTTTAAAGGGTTTTTGAGGTCTTAGATAAATTATTCAAATATAATTTATATTGTTATAGTATTCCAAAAATTAAAATAAAATGTTAATGATAAACACTCCTTTTATCATTCTATACACAAAATAATTCAAAAAATGTTAAAGATTTCTATATATTTAAAAAAAAATCGTTTTTCAAAGCCATCCCTTCCCCTCCATTCCAAACTCCTAAACTAAGCCTAAGAAAACTCACAAGGTGTTTGTCGTGAAAAAACACAACTATAATAACCTTTTATGACACTCAATTCCATTAAAATCACTAGTAACTTGACACCATCAATTATGTTTAAAACTCAAAGAAAGACTATCCTATAATTATCGCGAGGTTTAAATCAAAATGTCAATATCATCTTGGGATCTAGACATAATCCTCCTCGGATTATCACATGGTTTCTGATAAACAAGTTACCACTTGTCATTCTTTTAAATTGTTAATTTAAGTGACAACTGGATTAAGCTTAAGCCTAATCCATGAGGTACCAAACTAATAACTTATAACTCAAAAATCGATTTACCTTATTGCTCCCAACGATATGTTGTGGTTGATTGAAAATATACACGTTGAAGAAGTCTCGTGTCACTTAGTTTTATAAAGAAATAAGTGGTCCAAGGCTATATAAAAGGTCCAAATTCTTCATTATAAAATGCACTAGTTAAAAGTATTTTAAGCTGGTATTTAACTTTGTTATCTTATACTTTTATGTTAGAGTGTTGTGAAACATAGTTAAATATTTGCTTTAGAGGGTCTGGGTGTACTAAGGGTCTGAGGGTGAATTATGTGTTGAAAAATATTCACATAGTGTTATTCGCTAATTTTTATTTGACAATGATCGTGGTTTTTCTCCGGTTTGAAGTTTCTACGTTATGTCTTTGTGTTGTGATTATGTTTTTATTTATTTATTTTCATTATGCTGAGTTTTTCCCAACAACTAGTATAAAAGCTTTTGGCTTGATTCAGGTTTAGGAGTTCGTATTATTTTTTGTGGTTGGAGCTTTGTCTGATCTTCCACAACATAAAAGATGGCTAATGTTGTAAAAGAGTTGTTGAGCTGCAGTCACAAGTTTCGTTGTGCAGTTTGGGATAGAGAAAATTGAGGAAAGAATTGTTTTTGACTCGTGAAAAATTCAAGTCAAAGATATGTTGATACAATCAAGACTACGCAAGGTGTTGGTTATCATTTAATACAAGAGCATTGATTGACATTGATATAAAGTGTACTATGAGATGTTGTTGGTGCTTGAAGAACTTCTTGTCAACATGAAAGTTGCACCATAAGTTTTTCAGCCTGACTATTTGACATGAGAAATTATTGGAGTTGCTTAGCTTCAAGTGAAATATATTTTTCATGATAGAGTATATGATTATCGATAATGATAATTTGAAATTCTTGGAGTGATTTAGCTTTAAGTGAAATATATCCTTCATGATAGAGTATATGATTGTCGGTGATGATAATGTGAAATTCTTGAGTGATTTAGCTTCAAGTGAAATGTATTTTTCATGATAGAGTAGGATAATTTTTGAATTATGATTTTCCGTGAAGACAATGTGAAATTTTTTGTAGTGGTTAACATCAAGTGACTATACTC